TGTGCACAGTTCTTGAACTTCCACTTTTCGCAATCCCAGAGACGTGTGCTTGAACCTTGAGAGCACCGAACATGTTTCAAAGAGTTGAAGAGGGAATACCGAGTCGCTTTCCGAAGTTGCAATTTCAGAGACCGTCATTGGGCAGCCTCTTGGTAATGGGTCGATGCAAAAAAATCATGGCGAGAGTTCAGATGAACTTTGTCGAAACACTCTAAAAATACTCCACGGCTCCGTGCCAGCAAGCGGTCAAAGCAGCGTCCTACACTTTTCGGCCACCCTGTACATTTGAAATCGGGCAGACGCCATGACATGTCTGCTGCTTCCACTTTCGCCCAAACTCGGTCGCATTCCGTTACCGTATTCCATCCCAGTGCCGGGCATGACACGCACATGCACAACCACGGGAAGGGATTGATCAACGGCAAATGCTTCATCCTTTTATCCTTTTAATTAGCAATAGTCAGCAATGTGAAAATGAAACGTGGAAAAGTAAACAAGATCAGATACTCTCGTGAAGACCAGAATCGAACAGAATATTTCAGTAGCTCAAAGTTTATTCTCACTGGAACTGCAGCTCTATTCAATAATGTTAGCATAGCAACATAACAAGAAGGACTTATTGTAACAATCTCATAGCCGTAAATATGAAGGTGACATTTTAAAATGTATAATTCATTTGCTTGACAAATAAATAAACAAAATAACAGAGATGACTACGACCTACAAAAGACACAACCCCGTTCAACATTGTTCACCAGCGGCTACAACTCATAGAAATTGAAAGAAGAGGAAAAAGTATGATATGATCAAATAACAAATTGTGAAATGAAATTCAGAACACCTATAGCGATGATTGTGGTGTGGATGAATTGTTTTGTGGGCGTAAGACGGCCTTCCATATGCAATTTCCTCATATAAACCAAGCATGGTAAGGCAAACACGTAGATCAAACCAGAGAGCGAGCCGACATATCTGAACAACACCTTTTGGTTCAATAACTGGACGAGCTTTTAATTGATTGATTTTTTGAATTTAAATATCAAATTTCGTACCTAAGTATACTGCCAACTTTGGGGTACAGTATGGCAACCGTTACCGCAATACAGATAATTCCACAGTTCAAGAGAATAACTGGTACAAGACTGAAAGATC